AAAAATATTATAATATAAAATAAAAAACTAAAACTTTTAATTTTTTTTTTGAATAGTGTGAAATTTTTTCCAGAGAAGGGAAAAGGGAGACTTGAGATTTGATTCCAAATTCTTTAATTCTAAGCACGTCCTGCAAAGAGTGGTCATTGGGCCACCAAGTGCTGTACAACTAAAACCTTTAAATTTAATAAAATAAAGAGTTAAAAATAAATTTTTATCTTCAAAACCAAACCAAATGTTTGACGCCTCTTTTGTTTTACAGGTTTGTAAGTGACTCCGTTGGATTAATTTTTGGCGGTAGCTTTCAAATCGTAGGTGTAAACGGAATCCCTCGTAAGGACAATTTTCCGTACATACATGATTTTAACCTAACAATTCCTCCATAAAATATAAAACAAATTTTTTTTTTTGACTTTTTTTAATCCTGGCTGCCTAACATGCGTTTGGAGTACACGCCAAGTCTCTCTCATCAATTATTGATAATTAGTAATTAATCAGAAAATAAAAACACTAAATTAAGTATTAGGAGTAATCAATTAACCAATCTGCATATTTTCTTTTAACAGTCTTGCATCAATATGTCTTCAGCATATACTATATTCTTCTCCTTCTTTTTGCTGTAGACTTCCAAGCAAATCTCTTCCCCAAACTATGGAAACAAAGATGGGTCCGAGTATCCTTGCCTCTCTCGTAGATGCAGCTCTGTCGAAGGTGATGGCTGTTGTTTCTGATCAGTTCACCTCTCTCAAAGATGCAGCTGTGTCGACGGTGACTGCTGTTGCTTCTGATCAGTTCAATTTAGCACTGGGATGGAACAATGATCTGACGGAGGTTCGTGATACAATGAAGACGCTCCGAGGTTTCTTGCAAGATGCTAATGAAAAGAACGTCAGTGGCCACCTTGCTCTGAAGAAGTGGCTCCAGGGTCTTCGAGATGTTGCAGATGAGGCTGATGATATACTGGAGGAGGTCGCTTATGAAGGTATGCAGCGGGAAGTTAACAAACCAAAGGTCAGGCGATTAACTCTGCCTGACCCCTCGCCCTTGCTATTTCGCCAGGAAATGGCTAATAGAGTTAAGGGTTTGAATAAAAAACTTGCTGATATCAATTCCTCGGCTCATCAGTTGGGATTGCAATACAAACTTGCAAACGTGGTTCCTGAACCCAGAGGCAGGGC